TATATATATATATATATATATATATATATATATATATATATATATATATATATATATCGGTGAAAAAATATTGCAAGGTCTATTCTTGAAGATGGAACAAGAACCCTATGAACAATAAAAAAGGTACACATGTAATTGATGATGAACTAAGTATGCAATTGATAAAATAAATATACATACATATATATTTGTTGGCATTACAAACCACGTAGATCTTTTGGCGCCTTAACAAGCCTGCTCCATCTCTGTCTGCCTCTTGGGCTATTTCTTTTCAGTTATCTGCACGCAGATTTATTGCATCTTTGTTGATTCTATCTATCCATAAAATTTGTTCCTTAAATAAATAATTAAGAAAGAAAATATTTATAAATTATCTTGCCATAATATTGATCTTCAGAGAATGGAAGAAATTATTTTCCGAATAAATATTCTCATTTGTCCAATAAACATTTGCATAATAGGACAACACACTTAATCGATAAAGGCTTTTTATTTAAAAATAAAAAATATTGTATATTAATATATAAAATGGAAAGGAGAACGGAACCTCTGGCAAGACAGTGGATGATCGAGGAAACATGATTGCAACCAGTGAAATCAAGAAGGCAATAGCTGAAGACACAACCACATAACCAACTAAAGGTTATTATCCATTCAAAAATTATCTTTGTAAATCTGTTGTCAGTCTTAAAAAAAAAAAGTCATGTAGCATTATCCGCTAGGTAATATTTACATGTTTATCTATGCTGTTTAAAATCATGAATAGAATATTTTTTTTTATAAGATTTTGATTTTTAGTATTTTAAGTACATGTCATCATTTAGGTGTATAGAATTCATTGATGAAGCCAGATAAAATAGAAATTTTCAAACGTTTACGACTTAGCACTAAATACCTGTCAACCATCTCCAAAATGCTTAAAAGTAAAATAAACATTTTGTTTTTCAACTTCAGCTGCAATATACAATATCTAAATTATGGCAAGAGATGAACCAAACAAAACTATTTTATTATCGTTGATCGATGATCGAATTTTCAATTATTTAAATTTTTTTAAAGCAGTATTTTAAGAAGAAAAATATTGTCATGGTTGTTGACTTTGAATTGAGTTTCTTAAGTTTACAAAAGACACTATAATGAATGTCATTCTTCATTCAATTTTTTAAAAACTGTTTTAATAATTATATAATGCTTTTTTGGGGGATATTGGCCATTGAGAGATAATATGTTTAGAAAAAAAAAAATATATATATTTTTCTTTGATTTTATTATTTATTTTCTCATGATATAAGTGATTCTAAGGCCTGATTCAACTCCCCCAAATCTTCCAAACCATACTAGTTAATATTTTGTTGTCAAAATTAATATCGAATTAAAATGACAACGATAAACTATTCAAATATTATTTTCCCGCCGAATCAAAATGACCGACACCTGGCATGATCGCACTTTCTTGATAAAGTCACTCTACCTTTAGGAAATCGGATAGTCAAAAACGTAGCACTATATCCCGAAACTTTTATCGGTGTGTTTTCAAATAACCCAAGTGGTTCAAAATAACCTTAAGTTACCGTACGTAATTAGCTTATTTTAAATAAGCTTTGTAGCTTACAATTAAATATAACAAGTGATAGTTAAAAAGTTAGAAATCGATAATTAGCAACCTAGAGAACACAAATAACGGCAATATTATATATAAAATAGAATATGCTTGTTTTGGTAATACAATATTTAAAAATAGCTGAGTATCTACTTGAACTAAGAGTTGAAAAACCCTGGTATAAATGAGTATTATTTATTTGTATTGTCGTATTTGGCAAGCCGTATGATAGATCGCATCGGCTATTCAATCAGCCACTCGCATACAGTCGCTTAATTAACCGAGATGATACGAGCTGATAGACGACAATAACGTGGCCCGATACGGCTGATACAATTAAAGTACCCATTATAGACATCTGCATTGATTGGGAGTATCATCTCTGCACAGCTAGCTCATCAACAACCCTGAGGTGATCAATCATAATGGCATCACAAGCTAAGAATCAAGATTAATTTCAGATAATAGGCTAAATCTAAAGTTACGGGGCATTATCGTGTCCTAAGGGAACATGATGCTTTCTCAATTTAGTAGTTTAAGCCTTTATTATGTACTAAAAAAAAAAAAAAAACGCCCAAAAAAAAGAAGACCACATTACTTCTACTCTCCCCTAATATATATGAAATATTTAGGAAGAGAAAGTATTGCGATCTTAAAAAAAATTGGAATCCGAGTTTTCAACATATATAAAGTTTTTGAGTGTCCCTGCTGCTTCCATAACAAATTTAACAAAATGGCCTGTGTGTGTGAACAGTCTAGCTTAAAAACGGATATTCGAGGATTACGAAAATGAAAATACTTATTTAATATAGGTATGAGGGTTTCCATTTTGGTGAAAAAGTCCTAGGTTGAGAGGGGAAAAAGGGAGAAATAAAAGCAAAATCTGAACTCAGTTTAATCTTTACATAGTTACATATCGTATTATTTTCTACATATTTGGGCAAAAGGGATTTTAAAGATTGTTCTGAAGTAAAAAAAGGGAAAACCTGACTGACCAAAAAGAAACCGACAAAAAGGAAATATGTTGGAAACGCTGATAGGTTACAACTTTTTCACCATATTCGGCTTTTTCACTAACCGGCAGTTGCAATAATCGAGTTTACAAATTTTTACAATTTTGGTTAAACTTGTACCAAGTGGGCTATGAGTAAATGCTATCTTTATTGAAATGGACCAAGAGGAATTAAATGCCGAACTTTCAAAATTACTTCTTCTAAAGTAATTTTAATTTTGTTTATTTAAAATAATTAACCATTTAAAATTGTAACTATTAATAAAACAATAGATTACCATAATCAATGAATCTATGAATTTCATGATTAACTAAAGAAGGAGAGGAGTTAGCTCTAGACAGAAACTCGGAAAGAGCCGAGAGCGCTCGAAATTTCCCGATCGCACTTGATTTAAACTGATCCCGTTTGTCAAGTTCAGGACTATTTGTTCATACGTTGGTTTCAGAAATTCCACTACTGCAACCGTCATAAGTAACATTTCATTAATTTAATTTATTTCCCATACTTTTTTTAAATTTCAGTGGAGAACTACTTTTTGAATTTCCTTGGAAAAGTGAATTATTGTATACGGTTTTTATAGTATACTTAATAGTTAATAACTGACAAAGACTCAGTATGGAAGAAACTGTACAGTCATTGTCGTAGTTGAAAATATATTAATGAGGGAAATTTTCAACTGAAAAATTTTTTGGAAAAATTTGGCGATCCATTGGAGAAGGGAGAAAATAGTGACTTAGAGAATAATGACAGATATCTGGATTAGGCCGAATAAGGTCGTTATCGATGATTTCATTTGTAACAAATTAAGGAGTATTGAGGATTTTACGGAAGATTTTGAATTGTAAGGATTGCATATGAGAAGAATTCAATAGTTTAGTGGAGCTTCAAAGCTCAACTCCGTAAAACCAAATAGCGCTTATCATAGTCATGTATACGATTCTTTTATAATTTATTGAAAGTTTCGCGCGTTTGTCTAGTAAGTGCTGAAGTAGCCGGAAACGTCGAGCGGTTTCTTATCTTTTCAGTCTGGTATGACGATGTAATTAGTAGCTTAAAAATTATTTATTTTATAGTACTATATTTTGAACACACCGCCGAATTGCGTAAGCTGTACCTGGGTAATATAATTGAGGTAATTTCATCGCGGCGAATCAAATGGGCTTGTAAAGTTGTTGGACTTAGTAACGAGAGAATTCCTAAAAGGTTAATATTTGCTGTGCCGAATGGTAAGCGTCCGAGGGGTAGACCGAAGCGAAGGTGGGAAGATTGTATTAAAGCCGATCTGAAGGGACTGGGTTTGGACGGCGAACGGTGGAGGGAGGTATGTAATAAGCGATTGGTGGTGTCGGCATCGAACCTTCGGGTTCGCTAAGCCTTTTATTATTATTATTATTATTATTACTATATTTTGAAAACTGTTATCTACCCCTTTCCGACTATATCAGCTTTGTGTTTCCTCCAGGTTTAAAATAAAAATGCAGCTTAGTGTTATAAACAAAACCTTGAGTAAAATCTAATATCATGTATTAGGTACAACAGAAGGCAAATGGAATATATGAAAAATTAAACCATGAGTATGATATGGTAGAGATTAGTGTTGCCCGAATACGAGACCGAGAAGAGTCTTGGTCTTGCAAACTCAGTCTTGGTCATGGTCTTGGACTTGCACAAGAGTCTCGCAGTTACTTATTAGCTTATTACTACATTTTTTTTAGATAGGAGAAACTTAACTAAGCTCGAATGAAAAAGTAGAGGCCTTAAAAGCAAAAGTATATTGATTATACAAATTATTTACATATAGTAACTAAGATTGTCAAGTATTAGTAACTATTTTGCCTTAATTTTTATTCAAAAATTCGATTTTTTTTACTATTCCTGGTCTTGGTCTTGCAACAGTTAGGCGGCCTTGGTCTTGGTCTTGCAAAGTACAAGACCAAGACCGATTTTGGGCAACACTAGTAGAGATTGACCCATTTGCTATCGGACACGAAATAGATATAAGCACCCATTTACCATAGATATTTGAAACAATTAAAGTATTTTTTGACTCACTTCAGAAAATTTAGAAAGGCAGCTTTTGTAGCGAGATAAAATAAATTTCCTCTTTTTAAAATATATCCTGATACATCTATTATCGACGAATCTCAGATTCCAATGAAGCGTTCAGAAACAGAAGGACTATGAACCAGGAAATCCACTATTATAATTTCCAAAGGTAAAGTCGCCAGACGAAGGCCGGAGGGCGGGAGCACGAAGAGCGAAGCCCCCGAGGTCGGATGGCTCTATTTACCTTGGACCGGGCAATTAAAACTTAAGAACAAAGGAGTTTCTCGGTATCTGTTTGCCAGATCCGGTCCACTCCCCTTCCAGAAGAAAGTTCTACTCACTGTATATGAAACTTTGTCTTCAAGCCAGCTGTTCGTCCGATGTCCAACTCCTCATCCCTGCGCCTCCTGCAACAAATAGTTTATTATAAATAATAAAAATAATCAAACAGCTTAAAATTTTTATTTTTTTCTTTACTGAGTAATGTTACATTCTGTCACAATCAAGTGATAGAGTAGCTCATTCACACTCTATGTACAACAAACACAAATACGTTAAACAGTAAAATAATAATACTAACAGTAAATGTATACGCTGATGACATGGATGTTTTGCGCCTTGACATCGAAACAAACAAACAGTAAATGTATATAAACAAAAAAAAAAAAAAAAAAAAAAAATCAAAATAACAATGGGCATACTTTTATACAATATTAACAGAATTCGTTCACTCAGAAGAACTCCGAGCCAAGCCACTTGCGGAAGGAAAGACAGGACTCTAAGAGATCACAGCGCCTCTCATTCAGCAATATCATTGCTATTACGAATCATTTGAGGCTGAGCAGAGGCGCTATTTACACAGTCATACATGGCTTGAGTGGAGGGTCTTGCCACTGCCAGAACTGAGATGTAAGCATAATTACAAAAGATCTCTGGGCTACTGCCACTTCAAAATTCGAGGAGGATTGCATGAATGGCGGGGCTAGATAGGGATTGTGCAAACTGGATTTGGATAATATGTAAGGTTCTAAGAAAATTAGAAGAATTAAATTAAATTATTTCCAAATAATTGATAAATCACGATCGTGAATGAATACATTCATACAGCTAATCTTACTCTATCTTTTGGCACTCGAAATTGAGTCAACGAAACAGTCAAACTGTCAACTTCGTTCAATTCGGGATCTAAAGAACATTAAAAAAAAAAAAAAAAATATATATATATATATATATATATATATATATATATATATATAAATATATACCGTAATATATTTGCCTTGATCAACTAAGGTTTTTGTAAGTGAATTGTCAACTGTTGATTCAAATTAAATAGTTTTAAGTCTACACTTTTTTTTGCTTCATCATGAGGTACTTATTATTAGAATATAACTTATACTAGAAACGTATAATAGTCCGTGATACAATCCTCGTTTCATCAAATTATTAAAATCTGTCTAAAACTTCGCGAAGAGCTTCAGATAATCGTAACCTTAAATTTTTATGTTTACGAAAATTTTCGGAATTGAGGCGTTTTCAATCTGGAATTCGGCAAACTTTGTCTATTTAATTAGATGCTAAAAACTCATGAACAGCCATTTGCTTCCACTTGAATAGTAAGATAATTTGATTATAGAGTAAAAAAAAAATGGGGACGTACTAAAATATTGCTGTACCCCCAAAATGTCAAAATAACGAGGTTATATAGGCCAAGCGTCTCAATATTTTTTTATTCTCATATGAAAAATTTTAGACCTAGTAATACAGATATTTTTTCGTCAATGAAAACAAACGATGATATGGTGAGGAAGCTATACTGGTCTAACTAGGCACACGTTTTTAATATCAGATATTATTCACAATGAAATAATATAACACGACCTAAATGCCCAATTTTCAAATAACTTATTTAAAATACCTATAATTTGAATTATTCCAAATAATTCAACCATTTTACTATCAGACTAGAAATAAAAATAAAAAGTTACTAGCTGTGCTGCTCTGCTTTTGATCCTGGATTCGAGTCCGGCTGTAGAAGGTTATTATTTATTGTGTTACATAAGCCAGGGAAAACTGGAGCACACCCTGCCTCTATAAAATAAGTTTTGGTACTTTCAATGGTACCCTTAATCGAATAATTAAGGGAAGTAGAGCGTGATATTGGTCAAATCACTTCCTTTCACAACCGTTGCCAAAAACACTGTATTTCATTGCAAAGTACTTAAACCAAAATTTTTATAGAGGTACATTGAAATAATTTCATGAAAACTAAATAAAGTTTGCAAACTAAATAGAGAAATTTACTGTTATTATTAAGCTCGACCAACCAAAAATATATAATGCTTCAAATCGTCGCATGGCTTTAACGATTACTAAATAATTTCCAAGTAATGTTTAGGGTTTTTTTTTTTTTATTTAAGTTAGGTGATAAGTGAAAGTTGTGTATATAAATGTTGTTGATTTTTTTATTCAAACCAAATTAGGAGCGAGGAGCACGCCTTCGGATCAAAACGTAATAGAAATTTTAAAATGTAAACTCATTGAGGAACTTGCACAATGATTCACAAAAAAGATATGAATGCAAATAGGATAATACTAAGAAAAAAGTTTCAAAGAAGCCATTGAAGACAGAAAAGGAGATGGTAAATGCGGCTTAAAATAAAAGAGTGAAAAGGTTAAATAAAGCCAGGGTGACGAGGCATTGTAATGGGACAGAGAGGAGACGAGAAAGTGGCGTAGAGTTTGTTAGTCGGGGAAGGAGAGAAGTGAGAGAAGGGGGGGGGGGCGATGTAAAGTTTATTGATGCTGGAGTCGAGGATCGCCCCCTCCCCCTTCTTTCCAAATCTCTTATTCATTCTAACGTCTGCTCCTCTCATCTCACTTACTCATCATTCACTGTTCCCTATCATCTATACTGTCTGTCTGTCTGTAGGGTAATATTAACAACGGGAGTGAATAGCTTCATATGTAATCCCTTCGGGAAGAAAGAAAAGACAAATACTTTAAAAACACAAAATGAATTATGGACTTTAGTTAGCCAATTCTGAGTTATCAATATGAATTTTGGATAAACCTAACCCTCAATGAGTCAAAGTAGTTTTTGTTTACCTTTTCATAACTTTGGGTTCATTTTTAAAGGATAAAAAAGTTCACAGAATAACGTTATAAGATACAAACCTATTTTTGTTTAAAAGTAAACTAGATTACACTGACATAAAGACATAATTATTAAGGTTGGCAACACTGATTGATTCCCTGCATCGCTCTCTACATAGAATCATAGGTAATATATTTTCGAGTAATCAATGGTTGACCGTATTATAATATTGAGGAAAGAGATGGTCCGGGTTGGTAGCCATAAAAAAATTGAAAATAAAAAGAAAGTAAACTTTTTTCTGGAATATTCAGTCCCCTAAGAGTAATTATAATGAACAAAAAAATAAGAATTGTCTGGCATTATAAGAAAAAAAAAATTAGCTAACATAACATAATTTGTAAATAAATATAAATGAGTGTGTTCACATATAATACTGTTCTGGTTAACAATATTGATGATATATAAGTAACAGTAACATAACTTGCTCTTTAATGCAAAATTTTATTCTTAAATGTATTCGGATTATTGAAAGTCAGTGATAGGGTACAGAGCTTCCAACGTTAAAGGTGTTAGGTTCGAATCCCCGCTTATACCAGAAATATTATTTATTCTGTTTCATTGGTCGTGGGGCGACCATAGGTAGGTAGATACTCCTGGGGCACACCCAGCCTTTATAAAGTAGGTACCCTTAATTAAAATAATTAATTAAGGGGAGAAACCTGGTGGTTGAGCGTGATCTCGGTCAAATCACCTCGTTGCACAACCGTAGACAAAGAAACAGTGCTTTTCCTAAATAGTGCTGAGCCCAAGACCCTTCATGGGTTGTAGTGGTACAGTTTTTTTTTTTCTTCGGTTTATTGAAGATTTAAGAATAAATGATGTTCGAATGAGGTTAAGGATGAGGATTTACGTATAAAAGTAGGTAAGGAATTTCATTCCACTGAAATGTTCGAAACTTAAAAATAAAATCTAATTCTCAATGAAATTAAGGTAATAATGACCCTAGTGGTTGAAGCGCTTAATTAAAAAAAAAGAAAAAGAAATTCCAAAAAAAGAAAGCACGCAAGATAAAGGATTTTTTTTAAAGGTAACGGATCTAGGAGAGGGAACAAACAGGTTTATGAACTAAGATCTCGTATTAAACGAATGAACAGAGGGACAAGGAGAAAATAAATCAACAAGGTATGATGGCTTTTTGGTTGTAAAGATTCGGAAAAGGAATACACCTAGGAAATGTTGCCGCCGGAAAGCTCGATAGAGCCACTTCGGCATGCCAACGTGGAGACGTAGGGGACTCCAAAGATGAATCGAATGAAATAATTCATTAATCATTTCAATCTGATCTCAAACCCACCAGACAGTACATCATATACAAGGCAGCCATAATCGAAGTGAGGAAAGATGAGTGAGGAAACTAGGAGTTGACTGGTTTTTAAAGGCAATGAATCACGGAATCTCAGGGACTGTATTATGGTAGAATAGATTATCAGATAATTTGGGAAACATGATTATTCTAGGAGAGGAAAATTACTCCGAGATTCCTAACAGAAGTATGGAAACGAATAGGTAGTCCACTGAGATAGAGTAGGAGATAGCATGGAATAGAATTAATAAGATGCTTGGAACTTGGATTGTAAAAACTATTTTATTATGGCAGTTTCCCACTGAACTCCGTCCTGAGCATACCCCTGCTGAATAACAACATAGTTGGGTAGAAGCGTTGGCTTAAAATGGTATAGTTTTTATTATTTTAAGTTTTTTATGACCGCCACACCGGACCATCTCTTCCCTCTGTAATATACTTTTGTATCACATTTTTACTGGTTCATATTCATTCTTCGTAATGGTCAATTTCATCAAGTTTAGCGAATTTACAAAAAAGTGCCTTAATACATAGATTACTCTGAAAAGTGCTTTGAAACTAGACTAAATTATAAAACATAGACATTCAGAAAAATTTGTAAAAATAAACATTTTTCTATTATTTAGAAACATTTCAGGTCAACGCCCAAAATTAATTTATATCCCAATATTTTCCCCAGTTTCGGCAAATGTTGGAAGCTTGAATTGAGCTGCTGTTCCGACCCACATCAGTAATTGAAGTATAAACTTCATTCCTTTTAAAGCTAAAAATTAAGTAAAGATTCTCAATAATTTTTATTTTATGTCTTAAGTTCTAATTTGTTTACGGAGGTCGGGTTTGTACCCTTCAGTGAAGAATATCGAGCCATAAATCCGTAATATTTTTGTGTGAATGGGCGGGGTAGTCCTGATCTTATCACAATTTTGTGGTCTTTGAAAAAAATTATA